ACCGTGCTGAGTCTGCCTCAATAGGTTTTGTTCATCTATGTGCCTACTAATTCTTTCCTTAATAATGGTTTCCACCAATTTACCCGGTATCGACGTCAGACTGACTGGCCTGTAATTTCCCGGATCTCCTCTGGAACCCTTTTTAAAGATGGGAGTGACATTAGCTACCTTCCAATCCTCAGGAATGGAGGCAGATTTTAAGGAAAGATTACATATCTTTGTCAGGAGATCTACAAGTTCACATTTGAGTTCTTTCAGAACTCTCGGATGTATGCCATCTGGGCCTGGTGATTTTTCAGTTTTTAAGTTGTCTATCAGTTTTAGGACCTCCTCTCTCATCACCTCAATCTGACTCAGGTCTTCCAACACCCCTCCTGAAATCAGTGGTTCTGGAGTGGGCAAGCACTTCTCATCTTCCACAGTGAAGACGGAGGCAAAAAATGCATTTAGCTTCTCAGCCATTTCCCTATCATCCTTCAATACTCCTTTTACCCCTTGGTCGTCCAAGGGCCCCACTGCCTCCCTGGCTGGTTTCCTGTTTCTAATGTATTTGAAGAAAGTTTTATTGTTGGTTTTTACGTTTTTTGCTATATGCTCCTCATATTCCCTTTTTGCCTGCCTGACCTCAGACTTGCATTTTATTTGCCATAGCCTGTGTTCCGTTTTATCAGCCTCACTGTGACTAGCTTTCCACTGCTTAAAGGAATTCTTTTTACTTTTTACAGCCTCCATTACTCTGTTTGTTAACCATGCAGGCTTTTTCCTATACCTGTTTGTGCCTTTCCTAACCTGCGGAATATATATTTTTTGAGCTTCTAGGATCGTAGTTTTAAATAGATCCCAAGCTTCCCCAATTGTTTTGACCCTTTCTACTTTTCCTTTCAGTTTCCTCCCCACGTGTCCCCTCATATCAGAGAAATTACCCCTTTTAAAGTTAAAAATGGTTGTGTGAGTCTTTTTGGCCAATTCTCTATTTGTACTGAAGACAGAGGCAAAAAATGCATTCAGCTTCTCAGGCATTTCCCTATCATCCTTCACTACTACTTTTACCCCTTGGTCATCCATGGGCCCCACTGCCTCCCTGGCTGGTTTCCTGCTTCTAATGTATTTGAAGAAAGTTTTATTGTTGGTCTTTATGTTTTTTGCTATATGCTCCTCACATTCCCTTTTTGCCTGCCTGACCTCAGACTTGCATTTTATTTGCCATAGCCTGTGTTCCGTTTTATCAGCCTCACTGTGACTACCACAGCCTGTGTTCCCTTTTATCAACCTCACTGAGACTAGCTTTCCACCACTTAAAGGAATCCTTCTTACCTTTTACAGCCTCCATTACTTTGTTTGTTAACCATGCAGGCTTTTTTCTGTGCTTATTTGTGCCTTTCCTAACCTGCGGTATATATTTTTTTCTGAGCTTCTAGGATCGTAGTTTTAAATAGTCTCCAAGCTTCCCCAATTGTTTTGACCCTTTCTACTTTTCCTTTCAGTTTCCTCCCCACGTGTCCCCTCATATCAGAGAAGTTACCCCTTTTAAAGTTCCACTGCGAGGAAATCGATGCAACTCCATATCGTGAGAGGGGCTGGCGTGATGTGGTCCACCCTTTTAAAGTTAAAAGTGGTTGTGTCAGTCTTTTTGGGTTTGTATAAATGTTAAACTCGATAACATTATGGTCACTGTTCCCAAGCAGTGCAGTTACTTTTACATCTCTCACAAGGTCTGCACACAACACAGGGAGGATTCATGACACTCATTGCTAGCAGATGTTGTGATAGCCACTCATTTTAAAGAAAGATAAGATGGATTCTGGAAGGGCAAATTATTCACATTTATTAAAATATTCATTAAAATATATCTTTCACTTTCCTCCCCTTAGAGCAGGGGTGTCAAATATGCCGTCTGGGGGCCAGATCAGGCCCCTGGAGGGCTTCTATCAGGCCCACAGTGGAACTGGCTGACTTCTGCTTCTTCTTCCAGTTCTGCTGCTGCTGCGTCATCGTAGGTTTGCAGTTTACAGATACACACCCGAACAGCATACTCAAGACTGCGACAGCACAGACATTTTGATGCAATAATTCAGAGCAAGAGGTGTCACTTATCAGACACTGTTAAATAAACAAAATATTGCAAGAGTGCTAATGTTTTAAGCTTGTTTTTATTTTAAGTAAAAAAACCACCTTTGTGTTTGTGTCCTTTATAAAGTTTATATCTCCGCTACCTGGCATTACATTTTATGACACGCATGGCCCGGCCCAACAAGGTCTCATTTATGTCAGATACGGCCCTCATAACAAATGAGTTCGACACCCCTGCCTTAGAGGGACTCGAGGCAGCTCAGAAAAGAAAAGGTAGACAAATCTGGACACAGCTGTTTACCATGGTGAATAAATGGAACCTCCACATTCTGGGTTAGTATATCTCGGAAAATCATACCTCTGTGATGTCATTTCCACACACACCTCTTTCCTCCCAGCAGCCCTGACACAAGGGGAGGGACAGGTGGCAGGAGATAGGTGTGCTTGGGCCTTTGATCTGATCCAGCAGGGATGCTGTCCTGTTTTTGAGCGCTGAAGTTCACAGGGCACATTTCAAGTCTCACAGAAGTCTGAGGGGGCAGGAAAACAAATAAAAAGTCTCACAGAAGTCTGAAACATGTTGGCAGTGTTTATAACCCCCTAAGGCTCATAGGTACCTGCTGCTTCTCTTCCACTTCTCCCACAATTGACTAAAAATCATTTTTTTTTACTGTACATAGGGCAAGGTTTCCCACCCTGAGAACGGGTTTGCAAGAAGCAGTATTCAGACAAGCAAACAAAATAGGCATTCGAGGCTAACGCCCTTTCTTCCCATTTTTCTCTCCCTTACAGGCAGCAGAGAGATGCTGTTGAGGCGTCGTCCTTGCAGAGGTGTGGAAACGGCTTCTCTGCTTCCAGCCCAGGTAGGAGAGATGACCAGGGGACAGCCTGGGACTGCTTTTTTTTTCTCTTGGGGGCTTTTGTTCCTGCACTTGACGCTAAGAAGTACGCGTGAGAAAGGATGTGAACACGTCTCCCTGTCCCTTTCTCCATGCCAAGCTCTAAACTCTCATAGAATGCCCCTTCTTGAGTGCCGTCTCTGCCTGGCATGATCCCTCACGGGGGAATCTTCCTTTTCTTTCAGTCTCCAGCTTCCTTTGAAGAGGTGGCCGTGCATTTCACCAAGGCGGAGTGGGCCCTGCTGGATCCAGGCCAAAGAGCTCTCTACAGGGAAGTCATGCTGGAGAACTACAGGAGCGTGGCCTTTCTGGGTAAGTACCCCTTTGCTCGTTTTTCGTATGAGACATGAATCAAACAATTAAACAGCCATGTGTTGTTTTGAGTTGAGGTTAAACAGCCATGTGTTGTTTTGAGGCTCACCCTGGTACTCAGCCCAGCTGGGGGCCTCCCAGATTTGACATGGCAGCGAAAGCAGAATTCCGCATGGCTGGGTGGAGCAACCCAAGCCTCCTGTCTGGCCCAGGGGTAACTGAGGCCAGTGTTGGGGCCCTCGTCCAAGGCTGGGAGGGTGTCATGGCCTGAGGCCAAGGCAGGGTCGAGAGGCCCTCAGAAATACCCTGAAAGGGGCCAGATCCTAATTCTTCAGCTGCCAACCTTTCTAACACACCCCTCTCCCTGGACAGTCATCTACTCTGACTGTGCTCTGGAATGGATCTGGCCTCCTTATACTGTTTGGGATTGTGGGCTTTGATCCTGACCATGTTTTCCATCCTTCTGGAATAATTTTTCCTCTTCCTTGAATTTCTTTCCTTCCTAATCTAGGAATAGTCTCTTTCTCTCCTGAAGAAACCAGTAATGTGAGATACACTATAGTGGAGACAGATAGAGACTTTCTGTCCACAGAAGAGCTGGAGAGTTTTCTAAGAGACCTGGAGACCAAGCCCTGTGAGAGGAAGCTGGGGGACATGGGGATGTTTAGTCTGGAGAAAAGAACGTTGAGTGGGGACATGATTACTCTCTTGAAGTCTTTGAAGGGCTGTCACTTAGAGGAGGGCAGGGAGCTGTTCCGGTTGGCAGCGGAGAATAGGACTCACAATAATGGGTTTAAATTAAGGGCGGGAAGGTTCCGGCTGGATATTAGGTAAAACTTTTTTACAGTAAGAGCTGTGCAACAGTGGAATCAGCTGCCCATGGAGGCGGTAAGCTCCCCCTCACTTAGCAGTATTTCAGCAGCGGCTGGACAAACACTTGTCGGGGATGCTCTAGGCTGATCCTGCGCTGGGCAGGGGGTTGGACTAGATGGCCTGTATGGCCCCTTCCAACTCTGTGATTCTGTGATTAAGAGGATCTTCAGAGAGTCTTTCTTTCCCAAGGGACCTGGCTGAGAGTAGGTATCCTTTAGGGTTATGTCAAGGGAACAGGCAAAGAATAGCAATGGGAGAATTCTGCGTCACTTTTTAGCAACTCTTGGTTTGGTAGAATTGTCAAGCCCGTTGGGTAAGGAGAGAGGGAGGCCTTCTGAGGCCTGAGATCTGCGAGTCTCTGAAACTGCTTCTAGGCCTGTGCTCAGCTGTGGCACTCAATCCCTTTAGAGGCTGTGATGCCTTTAAATTCTGGATATTCCAGGGAAAGAAGGGAGGTTTCCCAGGACAAATTCCCTCAGGAGAGAAACAATGTAATTGCTTCGAGTGTGGAGAGACTTTCAGTTGGAAAACGGCCCTTAGTTTACATCAGATAACTCACTCGGGTGAGAAGCTATATAAATTATCAGAGTGCAAACCAAGCCTCTGGGATTGAGCAGGTTTTGTCTATTTTTCAAGTGTCCATTATTGTACACTTTAATATGCACAAAAAGTCACCACTGAACTGTTATGAATGTGAACAGAAAGTCAAGAGCAGATCCGACCTCCTTGCATGGGTGCTAAAGGGATCTCTGTCTTTATTCCAGCAGGGGATCCTCTGGGGAATGAGGACGATGAGAAACTGCATCATTTGTCGTCAGGTGAAGTCAAGAGTGGAGACCTGAAAGGAAATGTCAGGAATCAAGGTGGACCTAAGAGGCAGAAAGGAAGCCACGTGGTCAAGAAGAGTGGTAAAACCATTCCTTATGAAAGAGGGGATTTCTGTGAAGTAATTCACATGATGGAGGAAACATACAGGTGCTTGGAGTGTGGAATGAACTTCTCAGATCACTCCCAATATTGTATGCATTTGAGGATGCATCCTAGAAAGAAGACCCATCAATGTTTGGTGTGTGGAAAGAGCTTCAGGTGCAGATCACAGCTCCTTGAGCACCAAAGAACCCACACAGGGGAGAAACCTTTTGAATGCTCAGTGTGCGGAAAGAAATTCAGTTGCAGTTCTGCTCTTCATCAGCATCAAAGAATCCACACAGGTGAGAAACCCTTTGAATGCTTAGAGTGTGGAAAGAAATTCCGTCGGAGTGGTCATCTTCAGGTGCATCAAAGAATCCACACAGGGGAAAAACCATTTGAATGCTCAGAGTGTGGAAAGAAATTCTGTCTCAGTGGTGATCTTCAGCTGCATCAAAGAATCCACACAGGGGAGAAACCTTTTGAATGTTCAGAATGTGGAAAGAGCTTCAACTGGAGTAGCAATCTTCACCGGCATCAAAGAACCCACACAGGGGAAAAACCTTTTGAATGCTCAGAGTGTGGAAAGAAATTTAGTCGAAATCGGCATCTTCAGCAGCATCAAAGAATCCACGCAGGAGAAAAACCAGGTTGCTACTCAGACTGTGGCCAGATCCTCTCACAGAAATCAGGCCTTCGTCAACAGCAGCAAAGGGTTCATTCAGGAGAGGAGCCATTGATCTGCTCAGAGAGTGGAATGACATTCTGTGAGGGTACAACAGATAATGTACATTCTCCAACACACAATATAATAAAGGGATATAAATGCTTTCCATGTGGAAAGTACTTCAGATGCAAATCAGAGCTTTTTGAGCATCAAAGAACTCACACAGGGGAGAAACCTTTTGAATGCTCAGAGTGTGGAAAGAAATTCAACAGGAATTATGCTCTTCAGAGGCATCAAAGAATCCATACAGGTGAGAAACCCTTTGAATGCTCTGCATGTGGGAAGAAATTCAGTCGGAGTGGTCATCTTCAGATGCATCAAAGAACCCACACAGGGGAGAAACCTTTAGAATGCTCAATGTGTGGAAAGAAATTCTGTCACAGTTGTGATCTTCAGCTGCATCAAAGAATCCACACAGGGGAGAAACCATTTGAATGTTCAGAATGTGGGAAGAGCTTCAATTGGAGTGGCAGTCTTCTGCGGCATCAAAGAGCCCACACAGGGGAGAAACCTTTTGAATGCTCAGTGTGTGGAAAGAAATTCAATCGGAGGGGCCATCTTCTCCGGCATCAAAGAACCCACACGGGGGAGAAACCTTTTGAATGCTCAGTGTGCGGAAAGAAATTCCGTCACAGTGACAGTCTTCCCCGGCATCAAAGAACCCACACAGGGGAGAAACCTTTTGAATGCTCAGTGTGTGGAAAGAAATTCCGTCACAGAGACAGTCTTCAGCGGCATCAAGAAGCCCACGCACGGGAGAAACCTTTTGAATGCTCAGTGTGCAGAAAGAAATTCAGTTACAGTTCTGCTCTTCAACGACATCAAAGAATCCACTTATAGGAGAAACTTTTTGCATGCTCACAGTGTGGGGGAAAAATTCCGTTGGAGTGGCTGTCTTCAGCTGCATCAAAGAATCCACACGGGAGAAACCTTTTGAATGTTCAGAATGTGGAAAGACCCTCAACCGGAGTGGCAATCTTCACCAGCATAAAAAAATCCACACCTTTTGAATGCTCAAAGTTTAAACAGTGGTTCTCAAATAAACGTTACCTTGTTAAGCACCAAGGAATTCATTCTGAAGGGAAACCTGGCTCTCTTTAGACTCGCTTCCCCCCATCCTCTGTGGGCAGATGGCATGCCCATCAGGCAACAGATGCAAGAGAACATGATTGGAAAAGGAATGTAGGGTCACACCTGCTCGGGCCCACAAGTCCTTTTCCCAGGTGGGGACCTGCTGTTACAGTTCAGAGAAATGTGCTTGGAGATCAAAGGGAAGAATGCAGGAGAAGAAGTGGGGGGTGGGGGGGAGCACAGGAACATTATAAGCAGACCTGTGATGAGGTCAATCAATATTTCTTGTTATAACAATGTTTTGATGACCAGGGTGGTTCAGTCTGCTCCTTTTATAAAGGGTACTGGGCAATTTTTGGGAAGCTCACATTGGGCCAGATTATATATTTAATAGGGTCTGCTTCTCACAAGCCTCCAACATCCTTGGAAACCCACAAGGGGCAGACAAGATTTTCAAAAGATCCTGGTAGGTTCCTCTGAGTCTACTGCTCCCTGTTGCAGTTAACAAAATAGACCCTGGACAAAATCAGGTACTGGCAAATTCACATTGAGGGGCCCATCTAGTTTACAGTCTATTACATCAAATTCACACATCAAATCCCAACCTTAACAAATTAACAGGGGAGGCAGGGAAATCAAGACACAGTTTGTTACCTTGTGTAGTCCTAGAGAAACAGAAACTGGTGCAGACCGAGTCTGGAGTGCTGAACCCCTCTATACCTGAAGTCAGTACAAAGTCAGATGGGCTGATGGATCGTAGTGCAAGAGGAACCTGTATCCACTAGGCAGGGAAAAGAATGAGAATAATCAAAGTCATGATAAGTCAGTCACTGGCACCGTGTTGTAAACAGGCTCTGGGACAAGCTGGTGCTAGGAGTTGCACACCTGCATCTGGCTAGTTAGGTCTCTCTGTCTGTTCTTATAATCATGGGCAAAATGCCTCATAATTCCACAATAATGGCAAGCTTGTGTTTGTCTCTTACCAGAAAACTGACTGGGGCTGCGATCAGACATGCCATTTGGTGTGGAGGGGAAGTGAGGCTATTTCCCCTGGTGGAAATTCACATGGCATTGCCCGAGCACACATCCTTTGTAGCTGCAGGCTCAGCCCGTCACACGGCGTGATCAGGCGGCACATGCGGGCAAGTGGGGGGGGATTGCCTTTTGTTTTCTTACGTATGTTTATTAGCTTCTATGACCAAAGGTCTTAAGCTCAATTATCAAGACTTTTGTTTTCCATGCGCATCAACGAGGAATTGCACCTCGGCTGAGTGGGTTCCTCATGGAGTACGTGGTTGTGTGCATACTGCTAAGTGGGGGGGGGAGCGCTGAGTCGGGATGGAAGGAGCAGGCCATCCTGATGGCTTGAGTGCGTGCTTGAGCGATCAGGCGGAGGAAAGTTCGTCCATAGCCCATCAGGAAGCATTAGGACTGGACTTTCCCTGGTGTTATTTAACTCCGTTCCCGTGGCGGGGCAGCACGGGGTGCCGATGGCTGCGGGACCGTTCCCAGATGTTGCTGTCTGATCATGCCCTTTAGTTCTGTCAGGCATTTGCAGCTGAGTCGGCTCTAAAGGCACATCTGACTGCAGTCTGAGTGCACCCTGCTGGGGTATTTGATGTCGTTGGGGCCCCTACATTTTTTCACACACCTCTTTGTTTTGTATTCCTGAATCTGCAAAGTGATGTGCTTAGTGGAGAGGTGTGCTTTCTCTTTTTTTTCCTCCTCACGTCAGTCTCCCAGAACTGAGCAGCTGCCTGCAAAATTTTAGAAGGGGCCTTTCTGGATAGCTTTCTCCTCACTAACCCCTCATTAATGGGTTCAGTAGGCTTTGGGGTCTCGAGAGGCCAGACCATGCCGTCTGTGTTTTCCTCTGTATTGCTTGCATGTCTCCTAACCTGAGTGAAACTGCTGGTTTCGACACAAACGTTGGTGAATTTTTCTAAGTCAGCTGGGAATGGATTCCAGAGGATAAGAAGATCTTTTACTTCTCTGACAAATGTGTCACTATATTCTCAATGATTAGGGCATGGGTTGACAGATCTCACAAAGCAAGGATTTGCTCTGGGGGGGAAGGAGATTCCTGATCAGCTGATCTCTCTTTAAATAGAAAGGAATCCACATTGGTCTGAGAGAGATTACGGAGTGTCAACAGTTGATTACAAAACAAAATAATTTACTGTGATGGATAGAGAAACTATTACTTCAGATAGACACAGAAGAACTAGTGAAAAAGTATGATTAAATGGATGCAGAACTTTAGAAAGCAAATACCTATGCACCAGTGGGAACGGTTATGGGAAAAAGAAATTAAGTTCACAGCCAGCCAGGCATTGAGAGAAAATTGGTATAAAATGTTTCTCAGATGGTATATTACTCCAAAGGATATTGAGAAAGTAGACAAAAACTACAAAGGAAAATGTTGGAAATGTCAAGATATGGATGGAACCTTTTACAATATGTAGTGGGCTTGTAAAAACAGCAAAAGGATTGGAAGGAAATACATGGGAAAATGCAGAATATATTAAAATTTAAATCCCCTGTGGAAGCTAAAAAATATGCTATTAGGAGTAGGAATATGCAGTAATAGTGAAATTAACAACTTGTTTGAGAAACAGGTCAATTTCAAAATTTGAGGAGAGATGGACTGTCTATTATGTAAGCAGGAGACAGAATGAGACACAGTATAAAATTTAGAATAAGAAACAGTTTAAAAATTGTAAATGTATTGCAATGCATATAAATGTATTACAGTGTAGAAGCAGAAAGAACAAGTTCTGGATATAAATGTAGAAGGAAGTGGATTCTGAACAAAAATATCTTATATTTTTATTGTGAGATATATAATAGACTTTCATTTAAACATTGGTATATTAAAAGCTATACCTAGCATGTAGAAATGAAATATGTAACATAGAATATGGAGTAATGATGAAATTAATAATATAGTTGCAAAAAAGGATCAGCTATGAAATTTGAAATTTAAGGTGTTTGAAGTAAGGACTATTATATTCTATAGAAAGTGTCATAAAATTATGGTTATGTTGGGGAGAAATATTTTTTGATCTACATGCCCTGTAATGTATAACAACCTTTGATAATAACCAGCTGAAACTCCACTGTTCTCTAATCGACTGCAGGTGCTAGTCACCCTATGCACTAGCAGATATTTGTCACGGTCGTCCATCCAGGTCTGTTAATTAGGGTCATACTGTTCAGCAGTGAGTTTGGTGTGGGAGGGGGGAACTCGCTCCCACCTGGAAGATTCCATGAATACTGCCCAGTGATTGGTTGAGGAGGACAGGAGGTTATGGCCCACAACTTTTTATAAATATGGTTAGTGGGAAGAAGTGTTACCCTTGCTTTTACCCATTCTTCCATGCTGAAAAGAAGATACTTGTATTATGCTCTAGGACTCTTGCTTCAAGAAGAAACTGTGCTGTTAGGACTCCAGTCAGCTTTCTTGTTTTTCTGTGCATTTTTACTGTCACTGAACTCTGTGCTTTGTTTTCAAACCTTTTCTTGAATTTATTCAATAAAGCCTTCCCTTTGCTTTATTGTGTGTGTGTGTGTGTTACTTGAGGAGTTACTGAGACCAAACCCAAGTACAGCTCGGTTACATTACCACAGCAAAGTAGGGTCAGCTTTGATATGGTGTCAGCTTTAGGGAATCTGTTCCAGTCTACTTTGGAGTAACTGTATGTGGATATATTTCTGTGGGTGTGTCACGGCTCAGGTGGGGTGTCACCTGACACTGCCACCACTCTGGTTCCAGGCTCCCTTGAGAAGGCCCAGAGCACCCTCCCAAGACCTTTAGACCTCCCTTTTGGCTGAATAATAGGCGTGAGGACCAGGCAGACTGAACAATGAAAATAGTTTATTGTATAGGAGGTCAAACAACAAGGTGCAGAATAATAGCAGTAAGTGGGTGAAAAGAAATCAAATGCCCTTACAGCTCTAAATATACTGTCCCTAGCTCACTATCTGCAGTGGCCTTAGACTACTCATCCTTCCATCAGGATAAGAGTCTGTTCCCTACAGCAGCCTCAGTTCCTTCTGGCTCTGTCCCCTGGGAAGAAGAACAGCTTTTCCTGCTGCTCCAGATCTTTTATTCCAAGCCCTCCTCTTTTCCTATTGGTCAATTTTGGCTCCAAAACCTCTCAGGGCTTCTGGAAGTTGTAGGCGCAGCCTCACCTACTGCTAGCCAGGCTCCCTAGTAGGCCTCTGGTGGCACAGCCCAGATCATGACAGGGTGTTTGATGCAGTTTTGTTATTTTGGATAGGGGTACAAACTAGGGGTACAACATCACCAGCAGTGCCAGCAAGAGTGCAACGTAGGCTTGCCAAGTCCCCCCAGGGGGCAGATCGGGCCCCGGGGGGGAACCCCACCCCCAAAGCACGTGACATGCCCGGCGTCAGCACATCAGGCACGTTGGCGGAGGGGCCACAATCATCCGAGGGAAAACTCTATGCCCGACGTGATTGCGTCACTTCCGGGTGACGTAATTGCGGTGCGCGCACGCATAGACTCCCAGGACGAGACTGGACTCCCCCGCTCTGCAACAGGTAAGGACTTGGCAACCCTAGTGCAACGGTCAGGCCAGAGTGAGCCTGGGGCAGCAGAAGTGGAGGTTACAGTGAACCAAGAGACTGACTTAGTACTGGATCTCTTGGATATGGAGGAGGTAAAACATATCTGAGGCAGGTTGACTCATTGCCAGAGGGCATTGCACTAATGGTTCCATGGGAGTTAGCCAAAGAGATGGGAGAGGCTTGATGGCCTTACAAACACCTGGCAGGAAGGGTAACTGATTAAGGGTAACTTAATCAAGGGTAGTAGGTGAAGGGGA